GTGGAATTTTAGACATTGTGACGTCATAACGTACAAAAAACCTCTACCAAAAAACCCGCAAAGGGGGAAATGGGAAGAGGCCGTTTGTAAAAATTAATGATTGAGGTTGTCTTATCCAGTTGGCCGTTAGAGCAGGTTCGACTGTACTTCATAGAATACCCTAGTCTTGTTATATGACACATACAGGGGGTACGTCGTCAGCAGACAGTTGAGTGGTTAGTCTACCGAACCTGTAATCGTGAGCCTGCAGGAATGGGGGTTTGAGGCTCAGCTTGGTCCAACAGTGTCCTAAGGAAAGGAAAGGCACTTTACACTTTTCCAATATTGTTTTGGCCCTACTAGAGATGGACTTAAAATTTGAAGGTCCCGCCTCTTCAACAACCTTTCAGTTCTGCTATGGTGTTAAACCTATTTGATTCCGATTTTGATAGAAAACTGGAGAATGAAAGATCATGTTTCCCTCTCAGACATCTAGCAGGACTACAATATGGAAATCCAAAGACTTGAGTGGGAAAAGGAGTACCTTTCACACTGCGTGTCTGCTATTGACTCACTAACATGAGAGCAGATGCTTGCTCTTCAAAACGTCAAAGGTGAGAGTGAACAAGTGCTCAAAACATTAACATATGTCTATGTTTGGAGCTTGTTGGTTTATATATTTTTAAAAATTCAAACTAAAATAAAACAAAACAAAGAGAAAGAAGAAGAACAGCATCCCGTTGACAAGGGGCTTTTCAGAGTGGACATTTCTTAACCTAAAGGTTCAGTTTTCCAACTGCTACATTTCTCAAACTTTAAAAAAAAACATGTTTGGTTGTTCGGGTTATACATTCTTATTAACTGGCTTCCTTGGTGAATGGTTACGGCTCTCCACCTTCGCATGCAGACGACCTGAGCTCGATTCCCAAGTCGAGAAAAATATGTTTAGCACGTTGCATTTCGCGCAGCCCTGGTAGACGCCGTCAGGTACTGTGGAAGCAGCCTGCCTTTCAACTTATCCAAGCAATGTCGAAGGAGGTGGAAGAATTTATCCATTTTTTAAACAGAATACGATGACTTTTTACTCTGTTTACATTTCATATTGCTATGTACCGTGTACAGGTTTGGGGGG